AAATGTGGTGGCATGGAGTGAGGTATGTAAATGTGGTGGCATGGAGTGAGGTATGTAAATGTGGTGGTATGGAGTGAGGTATGTAAATGTGGTGGCATGGAGTGAGGTATGTAAATGTGGTGGTATGGAGTGAGGTATGTAAATGTGGTGGCATGGAGTGAGGTATGTAAATGTGGTGGTATGGAGTGAGGTATGTAAATGTGGTGGTATGGAGTGAGGTATGTAAATGTGGTGGTATGGAGTGAGGTATGTAAATGTGGTGGTATGGAGTGAGGTATGTAAATGTGGTGGTATGGAGTGAGGTATGTAAATGTGGTGGTATGGAGTGAGGTATAAAGACTGTGGAAATCAGGTGTACGGGAGTTGAAGTAGGAGAGGGGAGAGGAGAGAGAGAGGGGAGAGAGAGAGAGAGAGAGAGAGAGAGAGAGAGAGAGAGAGAGAGAGAGAGAGAGAGAGAGAGAGAGAGAAAAAATGGAGTGGAACACATATTATGGACAACTAAAAAAAAAAAAGCAACAATAACAAATAAACAATAAATAATAAACTTTCTATAAAATCTGCTTAACCTTAAGATTTGTCTCACCTCAGCTTAGTCAGTCAGTCACCTCAGCTTAGTCAGTCAGTCACCTCAGCTCAGTCACCTCAGCTCAGTCAGTCAGTCACCTCAGCTCAGTCAGTCAGTCACCTCCACCACTCTCACACTCACCACCAATAATCCACAATTCCTTCCTCTCTGCCAAAAAAAAAAAAAAAAAATCCTGTTCTTCTCGCCAAATATTTTCCGATTTTGACAGTTTTTTCCCCCCCACCAACACAGCTTCAAAAACAATTTTAAATCTAGCAAAAAAAAAAAAACTGCTATTTTTTCCCTCCCTGAAGGAAGGTGTAATGTTGGTAGCAATACCGACAGTATATTCCGTAAAAGGTCTCGTTTCATTTTAACTGTGCGAAACGTTGCAACGATAAAAATGTAGTTGACGTTATATAAGGACGGGAAGAACTTCACGTATTATTCAATGAAATTAAAAAAAAAATATTTTTCAATAGTCGGGAAACGCTGAAGGTTCGATACTCCTCCCGGTGACCGACCTCCCGACCCTCCAGCAAGGATAATTTTTATCAGCGGGAAGCTCCAAACTAATAGGGGCCTTATAGCACCTGAGATATGGCAGGCATTCAGATTCACTCAAAACAACGAGGAGTCTACCTCCCTGACACTGACATTCAAGATGGCGGCTATCGGGGATATTCTAAGGTGTCCCGCAGCTCGACTGGTAGCGCACTCAGGTCACACTCGGGTAGCCATACGTATATGATATTCTGGCAAACCACGGAACAGGTGTGGTTTGAACCAATGGCGAGTGAGTTGTAAAACTCTAGGCCAGTGCGTAATTAATCTTATTTTAGTCAGCTGGCCCACTGGTTTACGCACTGGGCTGCAGTTTAAAGACTCGCTTGTCATTGTTTCAAGCCCCATCCGTTCCGTGGTTTATCAGAATATCATATTCACACAGCTTCCCGATCTCTACTGAATCGTGTTATTACGATTCCGTGAGTCTTGATATTCTGGATAGAAAACCAGTTAAAACCATCACCCAGAGCACTCACTCGCGCATGTAAACAACGGAATCCATTAATTTATATATTTTAATGCTGATAAATACCCCTCGTAATGGATGCAGCTTTATAAGCAAACAGACCAAATAAAGATCACAGACTGTGTTAAAATTTAAAGAATATAGGATCATATGATAAACCTAATTCTGGTGATAAACAATAAATCATTACCAGAAAATCATACAAATGTAGCACTTAGACCCAATTATGATAGATAATCAGTCACAATACACTGGCTGGAAGAACTCACAAACAACTGCACTTTGGAGAGCGCATCATAAACTTCCTTATTCCTCCTATACTATTACCAAGTCTCGTATTTGATCCTACCTGCACACACACACACACACACACACACACACACACACACACACACACGATAAAGCTCACAGAACAAGGAGAGTGGACCTAGTACCGACCAGCGAAGAGGTGGGGACCAGAAGCTGTGACTCGACCCCTGCAACCACAAATAGGTGAGTATATACACAAACAAACGTAAATACGGTTGTCTTATGCCCCTGGTGACCCTGACCTGGGGTGAGGAGGGAGGTGAGGAAGTTGTATGCTGGAGGGAGGGAGGTGGAGGGTGACACAGCTGTACCAACGTTGCCGATGGTAAGTTTGACGAGGCCTGGTTAAATCCTCACAGGTGTTATTGATGGCACCTTACACTGTGTGTGTGTGTGTGTACTCAATTGTAGTTGTAGGGGGTCGAGTCATAGCTTCTGGCCCCGCCTCTTTGCTAGCTGCTACTGGGTTCAATCTTGCCTCCTTGAGCCCTATCATACCTACTCATAAAAGTATATGTGGTTCTTATATCTTCCATTTCACTGTCTGGGTCATTCCAATAAGGCTAAAGAAGCGTTTCCTGGACTCTAAGTTTCCAGCTGTGACCTCGTGTGTCAGACTCGGACTCCCTCTGTCCACCTGTCAGTTGTACATTGTAATCATGTTACCTCTGGTGGTTCTGTCCTTTAGTGTCGACAGATTTTGCTCCAATAGCCTATCCTCACAGCTCATACCACTCAGCTTAGGGACTAGTCTCATTGCAAACCTTCGCACCTTTCCCAGCTTGACATACTTCATCAGTTCTGGGTTCCACACTGGTGTTGCATACTTGAAGATGGGCTCGACATATGCTGTATATAGTGTGAATGACTCCTTGTTGAGGGTCTTTAAAGTTATCCTTAAAATGTGTCAGCCTGGCGGCGACTGCGGCGGCGGCGGCTGCGGTGGCTGCTGCTGGTCGCTTGATGCGAGGCTCAGATATGCTCGGAACTTTGCTCCTTTTCTTTCAGGAAGGTTTGCAGCCTTTAGTCATCTAAACCTGTACTCTGCTTTTGGTCGTCTTTCCCTTTCCCCAGTTTTGCTGAGGGTTAAATTCTAGCAGCCACTTATCACACCAATTCTGCATTTGTCCAGATTCATTTTCTTGGTCTGTTCCTGTGTCCTCAATATTTTCATACCTGCAGAGTCACCTATAACTCTGTTTCTTTCATGTCGTTTACGTACACAAGAAATAGTACTAGTCCCAGTACTAACCCTTGTGGAAGCCCAATCATCACACTTGTCCTTTCCGACACTTCTTCCCGGATAATAACGTGTTATACCATTATGTATTCTGTGATCCACTGCATTGCTTTCCATGTTATTCCTCTGTGTGTGTGTGTACACATACCTGTATGTCTCACATGTGGTTGCAAGGATCGAGTCCTAGCTCCTGGCCTCGCTCTTAAACTTGCTTGTACCAAATTTACTTCCTCCTAACCTTGGGCGTCTCATTATTATTGCTCTTACAATATACCTGAAGGCTGCTTCCTGGGGTCGACGACCCCGCGTCCCCTAACTCCCCATAACTCACAATCTACCCTCCCCATAATTAACAATCTCCCCCTTACAACGAATAATCTCCCTTATCAATCTGATAACTAACAATCCCACCTTTCCACAACTTTCTCTACCCTACTAACAATCTCCCAGTAATATCTCCCCATAACTCTCCCACCATAACTATCTCTTCATAACTAGCAATCTTCCCCTCCATAAGTAGAAATCTCCGTCTCCAAAAGTAGAAATCTCCGTCTCCAAAAGTAACCATCTCCGTCTCCAAAAGTAACAATCTCCGTCTCCAAAAGTAACAATCTCCGTCTCCAAAAGTAACAATCTCCGTCTCCAAAAGTAACAATCTCCGTCTCCAAAAGTAACAATCTCCCCCCCATAACTAACAATCTCCCCCCCATAAGTCACCATAACTAACAATCCCCCCATAAGTCACCATAACTAACAATCTCCCCCTCCATAAGTCACCATAACTAACAATCTCTCCCACCCCATAAGTCACCATAACTAACAATCTACGCTCCATAAAGTCTCAAGGAATTTATTACAAATCACACAGGCGTTTCAGGAATATTTCTCAACTGTCCCACAGACAGTAGAAATTAGACGTTTCTGTCCGCCGTGGAGCAGTGTCATGTCACCAGTGAGCGAGAACTTGAGAAGGCCGAAAGTGAGGACAGACTGAAACGTCGTTTAAAGAATTATCTCCATTTTATGTCTAATTTTTATATCTCGGTAATTTTTTTCTGGCCAAATTAGCTTTATATTATTGTATTCACGAAGAAACGCTAAACCCATCGGTGTCGACGGGGAAGGCAATCAAGTTTGACCCGAGGAAGGGGCGCGTAGCTCCAATTCCTCGCATCAAGAGCTCTTCAGCATCAGTATCACCTTCCTTAAAGGTTGGCATACGGATAGTACTCTCATCAGCAGCAGTAGTAGTAAGTGGTGGTAGTAACAGCAACATTAGCAATAGCAAATAGTGGTGGTAGTAAATAGCTGTAATAAGTAGTGGTAGTAGCAGTAAGTGGTAGAAGTGGTACTAATGATGGTGGTAGTAGGAATGAGTAGTAGCAGTTATAGATAGTATTAGTAGTAGTAGGTAGCATTAGTAGTTAACAGTTAGTAACAACAGCAGTAGCAGTAGTTAGTAGTAGCAGTAGTTAGTAGTAGCAGTAGTTAGTAATAGTAGTAGCAGTAGTTAGTAATAGTTAGTAGTCATAGTAGTATTAGCAATTAGTAGTAGTGTTTAGAGAGCACCCTGACCGGGCAGGTCACTCAGCGTTCTTAAGAAAATAATACCCAGCATAATAAAAAAAAATTAAAAGTAACAAACACTAAAAGGAATAAGATTAAAATGATCAATAAAGACTATCACACCAAGTAACAATACTCACGTCAATAAAACCCTCAGTCAAGACTATCACACCAAGTAACAATACTCACGTCAATAAAACCCTCAGTCAAGACTATCACACCAAGTAACAATACTCACGTCAATAAAACCCTCAGTCAAGACTATCACACCAAGTAACAATACTCACGTCAGTAATAACTTTGAGCATGTGAATGTAAGTGGCTTCCGTCTCCACCAGTTCCCAGATGGCGCTCTGCTGCTGCTCCTGGCGCTCATCCAGCTGGTCGTGGCCCTCAACCAGAGTTCGCCAGCTGTCCTCAACCACTACCTCTGTAACACAACAAACACCTGTGTTAGACCACCACATGTTGCCAAGAGCACCTGAAAATAGGTGACGGGATACAGAGGGCAAGAATCAGGTGAAAGGAGGACAGAGGGCCAGTGTCAGATGAGGGATGGCAGCTATTAGGTGAGAGTTCTGGTGTCAAATGGGACGGGTAAACAGGTGTCGTGGGTAAACACCTCTCTCTCTCTCTCTCTCTCTCTCTCTCTCTCTCTCTCTCTCTCTCTCTGATATAAGTGCAAGGACACGAAAACAATGTATGTTCATTCTCTGGATAGAAGAAAACACCTCGTGCGGCCAGCAGTAACAGCCTGGTTGATCAGACCCTGATACACCACGAGGCCTGGTCTCAGACCGGGCCGCGGGGGCGTTGACCCCCGAAACCCTCTCCAGGTATCTTCAGTGGGAGGCGTCAGTGACGACCACCTGACAATAACTGTAGCCTCATCACATCAGAGAAAATAACAGTGGCAACCACGAATAGTTCAAGAAAGAACAGGGGACAGTAGCAGCTGGTGAAAGAACAGGGGACAGTAGCAGCTGGTGAAAGAATACAGTAGCAGGTGGTGAAAGAACAGGAACAGTAGCAGGAGCACTAACAGTAAGGAAGTAAGGAGTGGTGTTCCGCAAGGATCAGTAATAGGTACTGGAGCCCACACCTGGTCATGCAGAAACTCGGAGAATGTCTAAAAGTTCGCAACTACACTAATACCAGAATTAAAAGGAGTGTAATTAGGAGAGACTGAAGGAAGAAACTGAACCTGATGACCTTGGCGGAGAATAGGCCAGACGAGACATGATTATGACAGAATCCTAAGAGGAACTGAATGAGCAGATAGGGACAAAGTTTTAATTTAGAGGATCGGGATCCAGGGAAAGGGGGGACAGGAAGCTGAAGAGACGCATCATAGGGATGTAAGGAAGTATTTAGCCTCATGGTAGGTGAAAGGTGGAATGACTTGGATGAGGAAATCGTTAGTGGAAGCAAACTCAATACACAGCATCAAGAGTAGGTAAGGTACAACAGGCAAGACATCAATGATGGCAATCACAGTAGTCTAAGAGTCGGGACCAGGAGCTGAATCTCGACCCTTGCAAACACAAGCGTTGGTGAGTATGTATACATACACACACAACCATACAACAGAAAAAATCTGAGCTAGATACCTCGAAGACAGTGGGACCGGATAATCTCTCCTGAGAGAGAGAGAGAGAGAGAGAGAGAGAGAGAGAGAGAGAGAGAGAGAGAGAGAGAGAGAGAGAGAGAGAGAGAGAGAGAGCAGTAGTAGTGTGTGAACCACTGGCGACAGTCTTCAAAATGTTAACAGATACAGGGCTGCTGCCAGAGGTGTAGTCCCAATATTTAAGAAAGGAGACATATAGGTAGCGTTAAACTACAAACCAGTGTCACTAGGTGGAGTACCTAGAAAGGAGTGGGTTCACAAATGATAAACACGGCTTTAGAGATAGTAAATCCTGTCTCAGAAACCTACTAGTTCTACAAGGTAACAAACGTAAGGCATGGGAGAGAGAGACAGAGAGAGAGAGAGAGAGAGAGAGAGAGAGAGAGAGAGAGAGAGAGAGAGAGAGAGAGAGAGAGAGAGAGAGAGAGAGTGAGAGTTGAGTAGATTGCACATGTTTGGACTATAGGAAGAAGGCTTTTGATACAGTACAGCACAAGAGACTGGGACAAAAGTCAGAGGAGCAGGCAGGGATATAATGGAAACAACGAGCAACTGTCCTAAGTCTCAGAATAGGTACATGTCACGACTGGGGTTCCACAAGGATCAGTACTACGACCGGTACTATTTCTTGTATACGTGAACGATATGACGGGATGGAGAGGGGGTCAGAGGCATCCCTGTCGGCAAATGTGAAACCACTGAGAATACAAATAGGTGAGGACCAGGGAAGAATTAAAATGGACCTAAGAAGGCTGCAGGTCTGGTCTGGCAGGTGGGGGGCTACTGGAATTTAACCCCAACAAGAGCAAAGCTATGAGCATTGGAGAACGGAAAAGAAGGCCACATACGGAGTACAGGCTAGAGCGCCAAAGGCTGCAAACCTCACTCTGGTAGAAGGACGTTGGGGTAAGTAATGTACCGAACATATTGTCTGATGCGCACATCATCCAAATAACTGCTGCAGTAAACCCAAGACTAGCTTCCAACACTCGAAGCAACACTCACAACATGGCATGTGGCGAACATCAGGACCATACTGTAGTTTACGGCACCATAATGAAATCCACACCTGGTTAAGCATGGCAAGGCGCACACACACACACACAACACGACAAACACACGACACGACAGACAAACACACACGACACGACAGACAAACACACACGACACGACAGACAAACACACACACACACACACACACACAAAGGCCCTCTTGACTTACCTTGCTCTATTTTCACATTCAATTTCCGCTTCTCAAACCTTTGCCAATCCATTTACCAAAGAGTGCAGACCCCGGCCGCTCCCAGACATTACCTTCTGGGATATTCCATGAGGGAAGACAGGAGGGGAGGAGGGAAGACAGGAGGGGAAAAGAGGGGGGAGGAGGAGGAGGGGAAAACGGGAGGAGAGGAAAACGGGAGAAGGGGAACTGGGGAGCATGTTAGCAGGGTAGCACAAGAGAAGAGCTTGGAGCACAAGTTAAAACCATCTCCAAACAACATAAACCCTTCACTAATAATCATACAAGATAAACATGCTATTATGCTACATAAAATTAACTAAAAATAAAACACTCATCAAAACCCTTCTCAAAAATTTCCCCGAGGTCCCTACAGGCAGCAGGTGAAGCTGGAGAGGCCGTGTGAGGCACGACTTACCATCATCGTTACCAGGAGTCTGAGAGGCCAGGAGGTGAGGCTGGCGGGGGATACCCTGCTTGCTGTATAGGTCCAGCTGCTGCACTAGCGAATCCATCTTACTATCCTGAAACACAACACAACACACATTTGAATAACATGGAAGGCAATAATATCATATTAGTGAAGGTACCCTTACACTCACAGGCAGTGTCATAACAGTGAGCATTCCCATTTTTAGGTGACCGTACCTTGGTGAGAGATGGCCAGTGTGGTAAATAATAATACGAGAGAAAATATGTGAAAATGTTTAACAGCAATACCAGGAGGAACAGCAGCAGTAACACCATCACTAGCAGCAACAGTAGCAGTAACACCATCACTAGCAGCAACAGTAGCAGTAACACCATCACTAGCAGCAACAGCAGCAGTAACACCATCACTAGCAGCAACAGCAGCAGTAACACCATCACTAGCAGCAACAGTAGCAGTAACACCATCACTAGCAGCAACAGCAGCAGTAACACCATCACTAGCAGCAACACAGCAGTAACACCATCACTAGCAGCAACAGCAGCAGTAACACCATCATAGCAGCAACAGTAGCAGTAACACCATCACTAGCAGCAACAGCAGCAGTAACACCATCACTAGCAGCAACAGCAGCAGTAACACCATCACTAGCAGCAACAGCAGCAGTAACACCATCACTAGCAGCAACAGCAGCAGTAACACCATCACTAGCAGCAACAGCAGCAGTAACACCATCACTAGCAGCAACAGTCAGCAGTAACACCATCACTAGCAGCAACAGCAGCAGTAACACCATCACTAGCAGCAACAGCAGCAGTAACACCATCACTAGCAGCAACAACAGAACACCAACACTAGCAGCAACAGCAGCAGTAACACCATCACTAGCAGCAACAGCAGCAGTAACACCATCACTAGCAGCAACAGCAGCAGTAACACCAACACTAGCAGCAACAGCAGCAGTAACACCATCACTAGCAGCAACAGCAGCAGTAACACCATCACTAGCAGCACAACAGAACACCTACACACTAGCAGCAACAGCAGCAGTAACACCATCACTAGCAGCAACAGGAGCAGTAACACCATCACTAGCAGCAACAACAGAACACCAACACTAGCAGCAACAGCAGCAGTAACACCATCACTAGCAGCAACAACAGAACACCCTCACTACGCAACGAAGCAGAACCCACACTAGCGCAGCAGCAGTAACACCATCACTAGCAGCAACAGAGCAGTAACACCATCACTAGCAGTAACAACTAGAACACCAAACACTAGCAGCAACAGCAACAATATACAACCATAAAATCACTAGCACAACAGAGCAGTAACACCATCACTAGCAGTCAACAACATAACACCATACACTAGCCAGCACAACCGACAAAGCAAACACCATCACTAGCAGCACCGAAGCAGTAACACCAATCACTAGCACAACAAGCAGTAACACCATCACTAGCAGCAACAGAAGCAGTAACACCATCACTAGCAGCAACAACAGAACACCAACACTAGCAGCAACAGCAGCAGTACACAACATAACGCAACTAACAGAAACCACACTAGCGCAACAGCAGTAACACCATCACTAGCAGCAACAGCAGCAGTAACACCATCACTAGCAGCAACAGAGCAGTAAACATCAAGCGCAACCAGCTCATCCTAGCAGCAACAACAGAACACCAAACACTATCTACAGCACAGTACACATCACTAGCAGCAACAGCATACACCAACACTAGCAGCAACAGCAGCAGTAACACCAACACTAGCAGCAACAGCAGCAGTAACACCATCACTAGCAGCAACAGCAGCAGTAACACAATCACTAGCAGCAACAGCAGCAGTAACACCATCACTAGCAGCAACAGCAGCAGTAACACCATCACTAGCACAACAAAACAACAACACTAGAGCACAGCAGCAGTAAACCATCACTAGCAGCAACAGCAGCAGTAACACCATCAGTAGCAGCAACAGCAGCAGTAACACCATCAGTAGCAGCAACAGTAGTAACACCATCACTAGCAGCAACAGCAGCAGTAACACCATCACTAGCAGCAACAGCAGCAGTAACACCATCAGTAGCAGCAACAGTAGTAACACCATCACTAGCAGTAGCAACACTAGCAGCAACAGCAGCAGTAACACCAACACTAGCAGCAACAGCAGCAGCACCACCAACACTAGAAGCAACAGCAGCAGTAACACCATCAGTAGCAGCAACAGTAGCAGTAACACCATCACTAGCAGCAACAGCAACACCATCGCTAGCAGCAACAGCAGCAGTAACACCATCAGTAGCAGCAACAGCAGCAGTAACACCATCAGTAGCAGCAACAGCAGCAGTAACACCATCACTAGCAGCAACCACAGCAGAGTAACACCACACAGCAACACCAACACTAGAAGCAACAGCACCAGCTAGCACCACACTAGCACAACAGCAGCAGCAACACAAAAGCAGTAACACACACAGTAGAAGCAACAGCACAGTAACACCATCATAGCAGCAACAGCAGCATAACACCATCAGTAGCAGCAAAAAGTAACACCATCGCTAGCATGCAACTAGCAGCAGAACAACCAATCAGTAGCAAGCAACAGCACAGTAACACCATCATAGCAGCAACAGAGTAACACCATCACTAGCAGCATCAACACTATCACAACACTAACACAATACTAAAATAAAATACACAATAGAGAATCAACAGTGATATCACTGGTGATCAAAAATATGAGAATCACTAAAAAACTATTTATTAATCACATCAGGCCGCCAGCAGCAATGCAACAGGAACACTTCGAATCTTCAACAAATGGCTGGAGGAACTACTTGAAAGACAAACTACTTTCAATGGCCACAACATGTGCCTGCACAGCACCAATACGACAGTCGAACCACACAAATGATAAAAATATATATTATGATTCAATACTATTTAATAAGCGCATCACAGTTTTCTACCAAGCCAGTGCAAAAACGATAAAACTGTCCATTCATTATTACTCCATCACTGCCTTCCTAGAGCACTACTATACTAGTTATATAATATGAAAATAAATCCTTCAGATCAGATAAATGACTCTCATACTATGCATACATACTTCCAACATACAGTCAGCGTTTCTGGGAACACACCAACCGTCATAAAGAGAAAAATTCGTCACTGAATTGCTCTTAAAAATCACATCCGCATTTAAACAGAAAGTTGGCGGGCGTCAACATTTTTCTTCTCGAAGACGCGCAAACTACGTTATACCTGTGACCTGTTTCGAGGGGTTTTAAAAGCCTCCCAGCCCGGCCTTAAGCCAGGCTTCCTCGGTGACTGCTTCTTCAGCTAGGCTGTTGCTATGTTGAAAAATGGCCTTCGACAGTATTTAAGACCCCGTTCTCATGCTTATGCTTCATATCGTTCCAGACCATGGAACTGAGCTCTTCTCCAGGCTGAGGGACTCACCACCTCAGATACTTTTTCTCCAATGTTGATGGGCTGATTGCACCATCATTTCGCTACTACACCTGCTGCCTGTGTATCTAACCGAAGAAGCCTACTGTGTAGGCGAAACGTAAGCTGTTGTTGTTCGCGGCCAGCTGGCATACATAACCATCACAGCCTGGTTAATCTGGCACCTGTGAATAAATGGTTTTAAAAACCGACAAGTTGACAAATGAGACACATATGCAACATCTGGGTATCTTTATTCTGGAAACGTTTCGCCACAGTGGCTTCTTCAGGCCAATACAGAAAAAGGTGGAAGATGAGGATGAGTTTGCGGTAATCAGTCCCTCTGCCAGGAGTCGATGTGTTGAGTCCATCAATCTTGACAAAGTTCAGCATCACATTATGCAGGACACTGTCCACCTGCCACTCCAAGCTCTCTCCTCCCACCAAGGTATATCCTGTAATCTTTTATCTTTTTACTATCCATCCCTTAAACGCTGGTCAGACCTAGTTATAGAACACCATTCTTTAAGACATCCTACTCTCACTTGTACAGCTCTCACCCGTGCAACTCTCACCCGTGCAACTCTCACCCGTGCAACTCTCACCCGTGCAACTCTCACCCGTGCAACTCTCACCCGTGCAACTCTCACCCGTGCAACTCTCACCCGTGCAACTCTCACCCGTGCAACTCTCACCCGTGCAACTCTCACCCGTGCAACTCTCACCCGTGCAACTCTCACCCGTGCAACTCTCACCCGTGCAACTCTCACCCGTGCAACTCTCACCCGTGCAACTCTCACTCGCGCAACTCTCACCCGTGCAACTCTCACCCGTGCAACTCTCACCCGTGCAACTCTCACCCGTGCAACTCTCACCCGTGCAACTCTCACCCGTGCAACTCTCACCCGTGCAACTCTCACCCGTGCAACTCTCACCCGTGCAACTCTCACCCGTGCAACTCTCACCCGTGCAACTCTCACCCGTGCAACTCTCACCCGTGCAACTCTCACCCGTGCAACTCTCACCCGTGCAACTCTCACCCGTGCAACTCTCACCCGTGCAACTCTCACCCGTGCAACTCTCACCCGTGCAACTCTCACCCGTGCAACTCTCACCCGTGCAACTCTCACCCGTGCAACTCTCACTCGCGCAACTCTCACTCGGGCAACTCTCACCCGTGCAACTCTCACCCGTGCAACTCTCACCCGTGCAACTCTCACCCGTGCAACTCTCACTCGTGCAACTCTCACTCGTGCAACTCTCACTCGCGCAACTCTCACTCGTGCAACTCTCACTCGCGCAACTCTCACTCGTGCAACTCTCACCCGCGCAACTCTCACTCGTGCAACTCTCACTCGCGCAACTCTCACTCGCGCAACTCTCACTCGCGCAACTCTCACTCGCGCAACTCTCACTCGTGCAACTCTCACTCGTGCAACTCTCACTCGTATAACACATTATCACCATCTACTTAACATTACTATTAGCACAGTCAACTCTTATATAGCCATATGAAGTGGGATTTTTTGCAAATTCAATTTAAAATTAATGCAAAATTAAATAGTATGAGCTGTGAAAGACTTTATAAGTCCTATTTAATTTTTGATACACCTTTTCAACTGGACTAGCGAAA